TCCGTTAAGCTTCGAAGTAAGCCCGTAGATATATCTAGTGACTAGAATGTTCATATAGATCGATTTTACGTTCATAAACGTTCATTTGGTTGAGTTTTGTGTTTGACATGTTTGAAGAACTAAGAATCGTAAACCATGATTTTGATGTTAAAACTATGAATTAATGATGCCAAAATGATCTATGAACCTTGGAGAACACTTTTATATACTTTAATTGAAGTTTGGTGAGTAAAAATGACATTTCCGCAAGTTGGCTCGAGGTAGAAGACGATGGATAATCGATTATCAACTTGAAAATCGATTATTCATCGTTCTGCAGATTTTTGTAACAAAGATGAGCAACAGTCGATTATCAGAATGTGATAATCGATTGCCAGCCCTCTCTGAAGTTTGATAATCGATTATCAGAGTGTGATAATCGATTATCAGCCCATTCTGAACATCAGACAGTAAATTATCAGAAGTGACAGTAGACTGTCACCCTACACTATTGAAGAAAATGAAGCTAATAGCTAATAATTGAATTTCCTATCATATATTAATCAATTGTTATTTAGAAAATATGATTTTTGAGTTATGGAATCTTATATTTTGATACCAAACCATTATGATTAATAAAAGGATGATTTCTTGGAATAAAGATGGTATTTTAACAACTAAAAGGGATCTTATGTGATGCATGACGGTAAGCTAGGGTGTTAACACTCGATGCTAGGCCGCTGATTGTTATGTGATGCATGACTGTAACACCCTAATCCGTCCAGGTCTGCAGCCCATTCGGACTAAAGTATTTAACTTGGTAGTCGTAAAAATTTAAAACTTTTCAAACACACTTTATTAATCTCAATAATATTTTTCATAACATATCCAGTACGGAGTATTCAACAATATTGCGGAAGCGGTTTTAATATTGACATATCATAAATTGTTTCAAAACTTGTCACATCCATCCCGACAATCTCGCCCCATCTGCCGCCAGGATCACATTAATCTTTCTATTTACCTGCGTGTAGCAAATAAAACACACTACACGCTCAGCGGTGAAGCTGAGTAAGCATATCTAAAGAGTCGAACATCCAAATAAATTGAATCTCAATTCATAATCAACCATTTGATATCATGCACACAATATATGATTCAAACATTCATGATATTCTCAATATTTTATTCCAAGTCATTTGATATTCAATATCTCAACCATGCTCTTAAATTATTCTTAATTTAAGGCCAAATCATTTTATAACAAGCTCTTAGATATTCCTAGTCTAAGGCAACATTTCTAACCAGGCCCTTAAACTATAAATAGTTTAATGCAGAACACAAGAATCGATAATCCACCCTATGGGTCATGTGGATTACGTACCAACCGAACAATGATTTGTCGGGTGGGTGATATCCGGTCTGGATCCCGTACGTACGTTTTAACCCCGAAATATGAATTAGTCAAGGAGGTATATCTTAGAGTTCTTCTAGATATCCTTAATAATCATCATCATTATACAAGTGGGTATATCTTTAGAGTTCTTCTAGATATCCTTAACAACATTATTCATTAATTCATATTCTTAGTTCAACAATCATTTAAAAATCCATAATATTCATCAAATGAACAATCTAATAACAATCAGCGGCCTAGCATCGAGTGTTAACACCCTAGCTTACCGTCATGCATCACATAAGATCCCTTTTAGTTGTTAAAACACCAT